TTGGGGGGGAGCAGGAAGACCCAGATCCCCTCACTCCCAAGTCTTTTGGTCTTTCCCTGGAAAGTGACTCAGTAGCTCTTGGTGGGGCCTGGGAATCTGCACTTTAATGAGACCAGTTTCTCTGGACAATTAACCAAGCTTGGGAAACCCTAAACTCATTCAGACTGCCAACTGCTTCAAGTACTGGGGGTGGGTGACTCAACAGAGCCTGGCCCTCAGGGTTCCAGCGTCCTCCCACACCCTCCCGGCATTCTGCTCCCTCGTCCCGTCACTCGCTGATTACAGTCCCTGCTCTAGAGGAAGTCACACAAGGTCCAGGCGATCTGACCAGGGACAGACACACAGGAAGGTAAACTGCAGTGGGCGCTCAGGTGTGGTCTGCTCCGGGGAGGGGCGGGCTTTCTGTGGGACTCGGGAAGTCTCTGGAATGGGCGATGCAGAAGGAGCTGCAGGATGGAAAGGCCTGTCAGGTGGGTGAGTGGGGAGGGCCATCTAGAGATGGAATCATGTGAGATCCAACAAGGGGGGGTGGGCAGGGCCACATTCATTCCCTTTTATTGTGTTTGGTCTTCTTTATTAGATTAGTTTACACAGAGTGAGTTACACATGCTTCTGGCCGTTATTTCTTCAAAAGTTTCTCTGGTCTCCTTGGCCCCTTTTAGCCTAGAACGCCAACTGCCCACGGTAGACTTCCTGCTTTTGTCCCGCAGGCTGCTGGGGGTCTGCTATTATTTTTTTCCCCCCAGTTCACTCTCTCCATAGATAGTTCCTATGGCTATGTCTTCAAGCTCACTGATCTTTTTTTCTATACCTTTTCTCTTAAACCTAGCCAGTGAGTTTTCATTTTGGATATTGAATTTTCCATCTCTGAAAGTTTGATTTGATGCTTTTTCATAGTTTTGACTTTTCTCACATGATATTACAGTGTTCTTTACTTAAGCATATTTTAAGTAGATGTTTTACAGTTCTTGCCTGTTAGTTTCATAATCCCAGCTATAGCTGGGTCTATTTCTATTGACTGATTTTTCCATCTGGTCTGGGATCACATTTTTATATTTATTAAAACATCTAGCAATTTTGTATTGGATGCTGGTCATTGTGACATTCCCTTTTGGTCTGGATTTTTTACCTTTCTTTATAGTGTGTTGACACCTGTTTTGACAGTCAACTAATTATCAGGTACTTGCATGTTTTCAAGCCTTGTCAGTGTATCTAGAGCAGTGATGGCGAACCTATGACACGCGTGTCAGAGGTGACACGCGAACTCATTTTTTTCGTTGATTTTTCTTTGTTAAATGGCATTTAAATACATAAAATAAATATCAAAAATATAAATCTTTGTTTTACTATGGTTGCAAATATCAAAAAATTTTTATATGTGACACGGCACCAGAATTAAGTTAGGGTTTTTCAAAATCCTGACACGCCGAGCTCAAAAGGTTCGCCATCACTGATCTAGAGTAACTTTTTAATTTATTTTTTTAAAATATATTTTTATTGATTTCAGAGAGGAAGGGAGAGAGGAGAGAGAGAGAGAGAGAGAAATATCCACGAGGAGAGAGAATCATGGATTGGCTGCCTCCTGCACGCCCCTGCAACCCGGGCATGTGTCCTGACTGGGAATCGAACCGTGACCTCCTGGTTCATAGGTCGGCGTTCAACCACTGAGCCACGCCAGCTGGACTAGAGTAGCTTTTTTAAATTAAATATGTTTTTATTGATTTCAGAGAGGAAGGGAGAAGGGAGAGATAGAAACATCAATGATGAGCATCACTGATCCGCTGCCTCCTACACACCCGCTACTGGGGATCAAGCCCACAACACAAGCTTGTGCCCAGACTGCACATTCAACTGTGACCTCCAACCACTCAACCACTGAGCCACGCCGGCCGGGCCAGAGTAGTTTTAAACCAGTCAGTTCAGCCCTAATGTCAAGAGGCAGCAAGTAGGCTCTGTCCTGAATGCCCCAGGTATTCAATGAGGTCTCCTCACCCCCGCTGACCATAATCTAAGTATCTCCCCATGTTATGTGAACTCTGGGGGTTGTTCCGCATACATCCAGTAATTCCTTGTCTTGGTTTGGGGCTTCGGGGATTCCTTTTTTATTTTGGGGGCTAGCCTCAGAGGGTTTATGCGCGCAGAGCTCAGCTCCGGTTTGGTCTTAAGCTCATGCACCTCCGCGGCTCAGCTGGGCTTTCGGGGCTTCCTCAGACAACGCGCTCCGTCTCCTAGGCCCAGGGAGCCTGCCATGCGCTTCAGCTCCTTCCCTGGTGAGAAAGCGCCCTGGGCAGCAACTGGGCATTCACAGGGTCCCCCGCGCGTCTCCCTTCTCCGCCCGTGCTGCCCAATGTCTGATTGTTTCTTCTTGTTTTCTTCAGTGTCTCGAGTGTTTTAGAAAATTTTCTAATGATTTAAACGTCCAAAGGCAGTTACTGTCTTGGCCAGAAGTGTAAGTCAACTCGAATTTCATATGTTACATACCTATCACCTTCATTAGCACTAAGAGGCCTTGAAAGAGTCTCTCTTGCTCATTTCCAGTCAGATCAACCCTCAGAGGTAAATTACTCACTTACATTCCCGTACTCATTCATTCACTCATCAAACACGCCCTGAGCCCTGGGCCTTGGCCATACAGCGATGTACAGGGAGACCAAGAGAGGCAACCACCTTGATTAAATTTCCAGTCACACAAATGAATGGGAGATTATGACAGTGGAGTTTCACTGAGGCGCATGGTACTAAAAAGCATTTAATAGAAGGAATTTTCCTTACCTGGGTGGTCGAAGAGAGCCTCCTTGAGGAATTCACACGAGGTAGGACCTAAACAATAAATAAAAATCAATTAGGGGGAACATTTGAGGAGGGGGAAGGAAGAACACTCCATGAGGAGGAAGTGCAAATATCACGTGAGGATCATAAACACGGGCAGAATGGCTGGGCGTAGCAACCCAGCCCCGAGCAAGGGCCTTTGAGTTGGGTGATGAAGTTAGAGGGGCCAACGGAGGCCAGACCCCGCAGGTCAGTGAGAGATCCCGCTGCCCACGCTAGGGAAGGAGAGGAGAGGCTGCTGGGGCACTGGGAGAGGCGTGTGTTGACATGGGAAGAAGGAGGGGTGGAGGGGTGCGGATGAGTGGTGAGTGGTGGTGCCATGGAAGGAGATACTGAAAGAGGTGTCAGTGGTAACTTTTGTTGCGAGGCCATGGCAGCCGTGACCACGCAGCTCATGGAGATTTGGGCTGTGACGGGGGGATGAAGATAGGGCAGGAGTTTCCCTGGCCGGTGTGGCTCAGTTGGCTGGGTGCTGTCCCAGGCACCAAAAGGTTGCTGCTTCGATTCCCAGGCATGGCAGATGCCTGGGTTGCAGGCTCGATCCCCGGTAGGGGGTGTGCAGGAGATAGGCGATCACTGTTTCACTCTCACATTGATGTTTCTCTCTCTCTTTCCCTCTCCCTTCCTCTCTCTCTAAAAAAATAAATTAAAAATAAATCTCAAAAATAGAAAAAAGATGGGGCAGTAGCGAGAAGGGAATGAGCTCTTTGCTGTGTCATTGGCGGTTGTCTTGATGGGCAAGACTTTAAAATCCATTGCAGGGAGCTGGTTGGGGGAGTATTAAACACTGAGGTGGTGGGGGCTTGTCCTGGGGGTGGGAGTGGCCGGAGAGGGGTCGATGGGGGAAAAAGGAGACATCTGTGATACTTTAAACTATAAAACAAACAAACAAATAAATAAATGCGGACAAGAGAGGTGTAAGGGCCCTGAGGCGGTGATGAGGGCTGCTTCTGGTTCCAGGAGGAAGGTTGGTGGTAGGAGGGGAGGGGGTAGGAGGGGGGGGGGGGGGGGGGGGGGGGGGGGGGGGGGGGGGGGGGGGGGGGGGGGGGGGGGGGGGGGGGGGGGGGGGGGGGGGGGGGGGGGGGGGGGGGGGGGGGGGGGGGGGGGGGGGGGGGGGGGGGGGGGGGGGGGGGGGGGGGGGGGGGGGGGGGGGGGGGGGGGGGGGGGGGGGGGGGGGGGGGGGGGGGGGGGGGGGGGGGGGGGGGGGGGGGGGGGGGGGGGGGGGGGGGGGGGGGGGGGGGGGGGGGGGGGGGGGGGGGGGGGGGGGGGGGGGGGGCGGGTGTCGGTGTGCACACCCACATAAGGGAGCCCATGCTCAGGACATGGAAAGGGCTGCGATCCGCCCACAGGCAGTGGGCAGTGGGCACGGGGGCCATGGCAGCAGCAGACGGAGACTGGAGCTTGGCGACCGCAGTGGACCAGACTGCCTGCCGAGGGCCTTGCCATTGTCACAGCCACCAAGGCCCCGGGTGTGGAGGGGTTTGGGATGAAGTGAAGCCTTTTGATACCCAAGCTGGACAGGAAGGCCCATGAAAGCAGGGGTGGGTGGACCTCGAAATGCCGCCTTCCCAGGAAACGGGATCTGCTCTGCCTGAGGGTGAGGCGGGACTACTCGGGGCCCAGGGAGAGGGACTGATGTGCCGGGTGCCTGGGCGCCCCTCCCAAGGCCAGTGGGAGCCACGGAGGAATCCGAGTGGGAGAGTGACGCATGAGGTTTGCATCTGGAAAGCTCACCCGTCTGCAGGGCGGATGGGTGACTGGACCAGTGAGGAACTGAGCGGGTGAGAGACAATGGCAGGTGGACCCGAGGAGTGGCAGCCGCAGGGAGGGGTGCAGATGGGGTGGGCACAGGGAGGACAAAGTGTCCCTGTCACCCTGATTGCAGAGCCTCAGGCCACAGGCAAGCCCTGGGAGAGAGGATTCCGGGAGACAGAAGGGCTGGCCCTGGGAGGCCAGAGCTCGGTGGGAGAGGCCGAGTATGGAAGCAGGTTGAGAGCTGCCTGGAGTCTGGGCTGAGCATGACCTCGGGAGTGTAAGGACCTGCCTCTGAGCCCATGGCTGTGGAACCCCCGCTGCCTAGGAAGGAAGCCCCTTAAGGCCACCACCCTGAGGCCCAGAGAGCATCAGCCACTTGCCTGAGATCACATGGAGGCCAGGCCACGACAGGAGGACAGGACCAGGCCATTCACCAGCTGAGCCCAGAAGGGCGACTGGTCCAGGCAGCCCCCGCACCCCCAGCCCAGGCGTCCCACGCAGCAGGACTGGGCACGGAGCCAGATGTCCTCCAGCAAGGCCACGTCTGCTGATGGCAAGGGGGACGCTCTGGGAGGCAGAGCCGGTGTTAGCAGGTGCCCTGGGATCCCCCACTCCCACCATGCCTCCCCAGAGGGGACAGGTGCTCTGTGATTCCCCACCCCAGGCCCGGGGGACTTCTCTGCCCCAGGGCACCGCTGGCCATCTCTTCCTTCAACCTCGTCCCTGCTCACAGTTATGAACACCCAGGGCAGGCCTGTCCCTTCCCACCTCCCATGCCCACTGTGGGCATCACACAGACTGTCTCACTTTTCCTCAGAGCCACCCTCCTCCGCAGCTGGGGATGTGGGGCGGAGGAGGCGATGCAGGGCACAGGCGACTGCACAGGCTGTTCCTCAGACACAGCGCGCTGTGAGGTTGTGAGGAAATGCGTGGTCTTGCTTAGGCTCTGACTCTGGGTCGGCACCTGGTCCACTCACTCATGGTCAAGTGCTGTGATCAGTCATTACTATCCACGTCGGCACAGCAGACCCCAGCCCATCACAGGGGTCCTGCAGGCCCACATTCCCGTATGGCTTCCCAAGACCCCAGCTCATCAACAGGGCTTCGCACCGTGGTCCTCCCTCCTCCCTGTGCAGACACGGGCCCAGGCTCTGCCAGCTCAGGTTCATGCACCGGCACCCAGTGAGCTCCAATACTGCGCTCTGCTCACCTCCGGCCATTCCAGGTGAGCAGAGCAATAATGGCACACGCAGCTGCCCGCACAGTCCTTGAAAATGCCATTGGGGTTGAGGCAGGCTCCGCATCAACCTTCCGGCGGGCCCCAGAGACAGGAATCCAGCCACAGGCTGCACAGCTGATTCTGCAGTCTGCCCCCCACACACACACACACACCACCCCCTCTTCTCCAGCCTCTCTGGGAGCTGCTAACTGTCCTGCTTGTCCCCATTCAATTGCTCCTGGTGTGGAGGGTTGCATGGCCTGATTCAGGAGCCAGACGCTCGGCTTACCTCCCCTCAATGTTCTTCCCTCTCTTGCAGGCTTACTTCGTTCCAAAATGGCATCTTCCTTTTATCAAGTTTTCCTAGTTATTAGCCTCTGGGCTCCGATGTATTGTGTGTCCCCACCCAGTCCCCCCAGCAAAGGAGCTCCCAGCAAAGGAGCCCCCCGCCCACCCTCCGCGAGGAGCACCCCTGCCTCCCAGGTGGCCGCCAGCAACACCGACTTCGCCTTCCGCCTGTACCGGAGGCTGGTGTTGAAAACCCCGAGTGGGAACATCTTCTTCTCCCCCGTGAGCGTCTCTGCTTCCCTGGCCATGCTCTCCCTCGGGGCCCGCTCGGCCACCAAGAGCCAGCTCCTCCAGAGCCTGGGCTTCAACCTCACGCGCATGCCCGAGTCCGCCGTGCAGCAAGGCTTCCAGCACCTGGTCCACGCGCTCGGCGTCCCCAGCGAGGAGCTGGACCTGAGGATGGGGAGCGTCCTCTTCATCAAAAGGGAGCTGCAGCTGCAGACGAGCTTCCTGGACAACGCCAAGCGGCTGTACGGGTCGGAGGTCTCCCCCACGGATTTCTCCAACAGCCCCACCGCCCGGAAGAGGATCAACAGCTACGTGGAGAAGGAGACCAAAGGGAAGGTTGTAGACTTAATTCAGGACCTTGAACCTCAGACGGCCATGGTCCTGGTGAACTACATCTTCTTTGACGGTGAGACTCTGAGAGGTTGATTTTGATTTTAACGTTGTTCCTCCCCAAGCCCAGGCAAGTAAGCAAGCTAGACAGACCCTGGACAGCGGGTGGAGCAGGGGAGGCCACGCTGGAACTAGCTTTGGAACTAGCTGGGTGCATGACCTTGGCCATCTCAGTTTATCAAGTGCAATGGGCTCATTCAGGTCTGTCCTTGTGTAGCCTGATTATGTGTCCTGAGGGGCTAACATCAGGCTCGGTGGGCAGCCCATGGGAAAATATTTTTTCTAGAAATGACCTTGGGAGAAAGGGCCGTATCTCTTGCCCCTGCCTGTAACTTTTTTTGTTTTAAAAAGTTATTATTGTCAACTTCTTTAATAGATGTAGACCTAGTCACATTGTCTACTACTTCTTATGTGAGTTTTGGCAAATTGTGTCTTTCAAGGAATGGGACATTTCATCTAGGTTATCAACTTGGTGGGAAGAGAGTTGTTGATAGTATTCCTTTTTCTTTTTCACGTTCATAGGATCTGTGGTGGTGTTCCTTCTTTCGTTTCTGGTATTAGTACATTGCTTTTATTCCTGTGTATGGTCCGTACTTAGTTTCTATTTATGCCAAATATGTTTTGTTGTAAAGGCTGGATTTTTAAAATAATGTAATGTGGCAGCTCTGAGATTCTGATTCGCGCCCCCTGCCAAGGGTTTGTTCTCATTGCCTGTGGCAGTAGCTGTTTGTTTGGTGCTTTTCTGAACTAATTTTTAAAGTCTGTTCTTGGTCACGTGTGGCCACTGACGTCTCCTCTTGGTTATTTAAATGACTGGGCAGAGGTTTCTTAAAGGCCTGGCACACATAAGCAGAGGGCCTTTGTGTGTACGGTGGGGCATGCCATCCACACTCATCAAGGCAGCTTACAACTCTGAGTCCCCGTTCAGTTTCTGTTTGTGCCGACCTTCAAGGTCCACTGGAGGGAAGAGCTTACAGCCTTCATGTAGTTTTTTCAAACATCCACATAGCGTTACCCATGTGCACAGCATCTAAATGCCCAGGGTACACTGAGCTCTTCAGTCTCCATGATATCTCTTTCCTCAGCTTTTTCTTTTAGATTTTTGGATTAGTCTGTTGTTTGTCCCAGCTGTTATCCTGCGCCAGGCAACCAAGCAGCTAAAACACTTGCCTTTTATTGTTCCTGGCAAATATTCCCTGGCCCTGGGGGAGACGTGCTTTTAGCAGAATGAACGCCAATCAACTTGTCAGTGGCTCCAGGGAGGTGGTGGAACTGGCCCAGCATCGGGGTGTGGGCATGGGCCCCCGGTGGAACTAGCTGCGGGCGTCACCCTGGGTCATGCCGGGCGGGCAAGGGGAAGGAGCCAGAGCAGCCTGGCAGTGGGACTGTCCAGGAAACTATCAGACAGTCAAATAATTATCAGTCTTTGGGAATGAGGCTTTGAGATGTCTCCATATCTGTTCCTCTCCCTCTGGTGCTGGGAATACAGTCTGCTATTTTTCAAAGCTACTGCTGAGCTAGAGAGAGAAGGAGGAGACTAATACTAGTTAAAATGCCACAAAGTTTACTGTTCTCTTCGAAATTCAGCCATTTTTCTTGAACAGACTCTCTCCAGGTTACTAGGAGCCTTTGCTACATTCCCAGTGTTCTGAAAATGCTGGTTCTATTTCTGCCAGTTCTTCTTGTTGCCTTTATGAAAGGGTGACTATGCAGAGGTCCTTACTCTGTCATTTTTGCAAATATCACCTCCACCATCTGTCCTATTAAGCTTTTTGATTAATCAATTGTTATCTAAAGCCTCAGAAAGCTGCTCAATTTATCAGTGCCTGTAACCATCTTTGACTAATTTTCCCCAAGGAAACGACAGGGCTTTTTGCATTGGTTGAGCTCCCAATCAGATCACATACAGACAGCTTTGCGAGTGATGCCTTCCAGGGAAGTGTACGACAGCTCACATGATGAGAGTTCTTTGAGAGTGAGTCTCTGAAAAGGTTCCGACCCGTTTCTTTCCCTCCGTGGCTGTCAGGTGGCTGGACTTCACCGCAAAGGCAGGCTGTTGTTTGTCAAGGGTGTGGGCAGTGGAACTAGGGCGAGTTAAATACCCAAAGCTGACCATTCTGACCAAAATTTGTATGTTTTTCTTCAATGGATGGTTCTGTTTGCTGAAAGCATTTGGTTAACGTCCAGAGTTCTAGAACAGGCAATTTTAATCATTGTTGGGAGTTGCTCGTTGTCTTTATGCTGGAAGTGAGTTTTCAGAGATCCTTGGCTCTTCACCTCACTGTGACTCAAGACTTTCCTTCTCTCTTTGTGCAGCCAAGTGGGAGAAGCCCTTTAACCCGACGTATACGAGTAAAATGTACCCGTTTGTGGTGGGCAAGACCACGGTGAAGGTCCCTATGATGCACCAGGTGGAGCAATTTGCTTTTGGCGTGGATCCGGAGCTGAACTGCTCTGTGCTGCAGATGGACTACAAAGGAGGCAGCACGGCCCTCTTCGTCCTCCCCCGTCCAGGCCAGATGCGGCAGCTGGAGCAGGCCTTGTCCTCCAGGACCCTGAGGAAGTGGAGCCACTTACTCAAGAAGAGGTGGGCACCTGTGTCAATTTGCTGGGGCCTGAGGCAGGTGACGGTGAACATCCCAGGATGAGGAGAGACCGCGACAGCAGCTGTGCGATCATCACTCCTGCAAGTGAGCACCAGCTGCCCGCCAGGCAGGGAGCTCGGTGCTGGGCGTCAGTGTTCTCACTTGAACCTCACAGTCACTGGGCGGATGAGGAGTGTTATCACCCCCACTCGCAGGCCAGGAAACAAGGCTCCAAGAGGGGGAGTGAATTACCCAAGGCCACGACGCTCCACGCCTCTGTGAAATTATTCTGTCACTGTAGCTATTCTGTGCTAGCTGAGCTGACTCCATCCACCACTGTGATGTTTAATGCCAGGGCAGGATTCCATAAAGACCAACACACACAGCACTGGTGCTCACCTACAAAATGAGGGTAATAATATCACTCAACTCAGAGGGTGTTGAAAAGATAAAACAAGTTCCTATGTATAAAGTGCTTAGAAGAATGCCAGGGAGATAGTAAGTGTCCAATAAATGTTCGCTAATAATAAAATTATTATTAGTTCTGTAATTATGGGTAGTATTCAAGGGATGTTAACCATAAGATAAAAAGGAGTCTTACGTCTGATCTCTTAGCAATATTGTCCTGGCATTGTGGGCATCGTCTAGGAGGAGAGAAAAGAAGGATCAGGGATAACATAGTTCAGAAAAGACAAAGATCAATGCCCAGGGGTGGGAGCAGGCGGAGTGCTGAGCCGCTTCTGAGGAAAGCGAGGTGACTTTCAGCTGGACTGATGGGAGCCTTCAAGGAGGTGGTGCGTTTGAGCCACAAGTATGAACAGAACATGAAGGCGTGGGTAGCTCATAGAGCTTGGGAAAGGCATACTGGGCAAAGGAAACAGCACTAGGGAAGATGTACAGTTGGGGATCAAGAGACACTGCAGAAGGTTTCTCAGGTTTCTCCTGTTCTTAGCTTGCAACCAGGGCTGGATGGAGGCAGAGGAGCCAGCGTGGAGGCTGGCGGTGGGGGTGAGGGTGTCTGTAAAGAGACAGAGCAGAGAGATGAAGATGGCCAAGCCAGCGCAAGACCCAAGGCAGGGAAGTGAGAGCTGTCCACTGTGCTCGATGTCACCAGGAGCCCATCAATGAGTAGCACCCACACTCTGTGCTTACATTTCTGTGACTTGTTAAGCACATGACTGGGCAAAGCACTAAAATTAAGCTTTACCATCACTAAAATGGAGATGAATTCATGAATGTGCCTGAGGCAATGCCTGGCACATAGCAAATGCCCAATAAATGCGGGCTGTTCACTCTTGGTTCCGGGAAACTATTACCGAGGGGGCTGGGAAGTGCCAAATCCAGGGCTGTGTTGTCTAACATAGCAGCCAGCAGCCACAGGTGGTTATTTAAATTTAATTAAAATAAACTTAAAAATGAAGTTCCTTGTTGGCACTAGTCGCATTTCAATTGCTCGATCGCCACATGTGGCTGGTGGCTGCCATACTGGACACCACAGACAGAGACTATTTCCAACTTTGCAGAAAGTTCTATTGGACTGGGCTGCTCTTGAAGGTCAGCAGGGTTTGTCTCCAGAAGGGCTGGTGGGTGGCATCTGGCCCGGGGAGGCAGGCTCGCTGCCGTCACTGCCCGTGGCCTCTGCCAGAGGGTCCCTGGTTGAGGCCCCTTCTCTGCTCTGCCCTCCCTCATCAGGGGCCTCTTTCCCATCTCTGTCCTCCTCAGGGCTGGGCTTTCTCGTCCCAGAGGCTCACCTCCAGCACAGCCTGGTTAGCTGACGGGCATGTGTTGGCCCTTCAGCAGCAACCAGCAGGGCCTCTCGGGAGCAGAGTCTCCTGAAACGTCACCTGGAAACAGCTGGGACCCAGGCCTGTGCCCTCACCTCTTCCTTTCCCTCCTCCCAGGTGGATAGAGGTGTTCATCCCTAAGTTTTCCACATCTACCTCCTATGACCTGGAAAGCGTGCTCCCGAAGATGGGCATCCGGGACGCCTTTGACAAAAACGCCGACTTTTCTGGAATCACAAAGAAAGGCTTCCTGAAAGTTTCCAAAGTGAGTTGGTCAATGAGAATATTCGCCTCTAAGCCTGAGTGGGAAGGGCCCGTAGAGACCGACCGATCGAGCACGCTCACCTCACTGACCCGGAAACAGAGTCCCCAGGAGGCGAAGAGACTTCTCTGTGGCAGAGACAGGGCCGCCGGGCATGGCGGCCAGGCCTGCTGCTCCGTGGCCATCACACCTCCCACACACCGTTATCCCTCGCCAGACAAGTGTTCCCAGGGTTCAACGGCAGTTCCCTGAGAACCGGGCACTGCCCACACCTGCTGCAGATGAGCAGGTGCCCCCTGGCATTCCACCCCACCTCCCTGGAGCCCAGGCCCTCACATTGGGGCCCTAACGTGGCCGCCCATGGCCATTAGTGCCCTGTGATGTACAAACAAGAAAGAAAGGAAACTAGGAAGAGAGGGAGCTGACTTCCACAATGTAGGATATTGGACCTAAACATTCAGATTTCTGATTCTCTTGAAACAAATCATTGAGCACAATTCCCAAGTAGTCAGGCCAAACCTCTACACAGTGGCCTCTGGCTAGGGCTGAGCTGTGAGCACCCTTTTAGGTGGAGGGCACCCTCCAGGGTCCCGGTGGACCCCACACTCTACAACAGGTCTCCTCGTCCCACTGGGTTACCTGTCTAACGCCTGTCTGCGGGGGTTTCTGATCCCTGACCTAAAACTTGTTTTCGTAACAGAGTACAATGCTCAGAAGTGGCCCTGGCCACTGAACGGGGCCTTTGTCACTGGTGCCCAGGGAAGGAGTACAGATTCCACAAGAATATGATGGGCAGCTCAGGCCAGGTGGCTCGATGGGTTGGAGTGTTGTCCCATACACCAAAAAGGTTGTGGGTTTGATTCCTGTACAGGGCATATACCTAGGTTGTGGGTTCAATTCCCAGTCAGGCGATATATGGGAGGTAATCAGGCTCTCTCTCTCTCTCTCTCTCTCTCTCTCTCTCTCCCCCGCTAAAATCAATAAACATATCCTTGAGTGAGGACAAAAAATATGATGAGCACTATGAATCCATGTGCACATGTGAAAACAATGTCTGTGACTGTTGGGAGTCACAGGGCCCTGAGGCTGAGCAGTGCATGAGCCCAGCGTAAGGATCTCTTGTCTAGAAGAGCAAGTAGGGTGCGATCGTCAGTAGTACCTGACCGCCGTGTCCCCGCAACGGCTGCGGCAACCACTCTGGTGTGCACACTTCCTAGATCTCCTTCAATTTGTCAAACAACCCCGTGGGATGATTGCAATTATTACCGGCCTTTCATCGATTTGGAAAGTGAAGCACGCGACCTCTAAATAACTTTTGCAACAATGAGTGGCGGAACTGGGTCTCAAACCTAGGTCTTTCTGGGCTGTACTGGTAACCAGTCAACTCCATGCTAAGAGCCAACTGATCAGCGGCAAA